CCCCGCCTAAAAATGATAAATACGGTATGAGTTCTAGAACGTTTACAGGACCGTACGTAGAATTTTTCACCAGGGGGCAGTAAAGCCTATATGTCGAAAAACGTCCCAAATAATAATAATAATAATAATACGAATATTTTAACAGGATAAAAACACTTCAGCAAGAATATTGCTGTTATCAACGCGTGTCCTGTGTCCAAAAACTACTTTAGTAAAAATCTATAATAGGTTAAAAATTGAAAGTTCAAGATGTTCTAAGCAGTTCATTAAAAGGTATCTATTATAATATATATATATATATATATATATATATATATATGGCAGCTCATTATATAATTTAGCTCCCTAATTTAGCTATAATTTATATCCGATGAATAATTAATAATGATATTCTAAAAATTGTAAATATAGTTTTCTCTAAGGAGGGGGGAGGGGCAGTTGCCCCGCTGCCTCCCCGCTGTGTACGTCCTTGAATGTTTAGGATTGTGATAATATTTAAAGCCTGAAAAACAGATTCGCTTGCAAACGTTATGCAATTGCTGTAGTATAAAATAACATCATTATTATTGTAATGTTGGCTTGGAAGTTTTCCTGGCGAGGGCTCGACACTGTATATTGCTCAGAATGCTTGGTAAACTCCATTAAAATGCACAGAACATAAAACTATCATATATTTTTAAAACACTCCGTTGTCATCAGTAAAAAAAACTTATGTTTCTCGTCCGGATTTCTGCCAAAAAGCAGGGGAGCGGGGCATTTTTTTTTTAGCCAAAGTAATAAGCATTTAAGCTTAGCAAGAAAAATACACGCAATATTAAAAATAGGTACGCAGTGCGTACATGTTGCATGCCATCTGAAACTTATGATGCGCTATAGCCTATAGCTCTTTATATAACCTTTTGTACAACTGGCGTGAAACTTAAAATATTGATTCAATAAGTTTAATATCAATATATTTATTGAAAAATAGCTATTATGTCAAAATAAGAAAACTTAAGATTTTCACGTGAATTAGCCTACGGTGTAGAACCCCAGCAGAAACACGCGAATAGGCAATGTTTTTTTTAGCGACCGTTAATATTTAGTTGCAAGCGACGGTAATAACATTAACAAGGTCAAGGTGGGTCAAGGTTTTATCGAAAGCGATTGACTGTTAGATTTCCTTCACAAATTTATAACTAAATAACGTTATTTCCTTTAGATTTAGCTTTATTGTAACTTCTTAAAGGTATAAAAAACTCGTGAAAACGGTGAATTACTATATAATAGATTGAAAATATTATTATTATTTATCATTTTGACGTTTGAGTGATTGAAATGAGTTAATTTACACTATATCGAATGTCATGTTGAATGTCATGTTGAATGTCATGTTGAATCTTATGCGTACTTCACAATGGTTGCTATTTCGTTGTATTAAATTTCATTAGTATAATTACATAGGTGATTATTGAAAATTCTCCACGCTGATTGGTTGCCGTTGAGGTGATTATTACGCGATAATCACCTAAGCGATTTTCAAAATGGCGGTCGAAGCCGTTTTGTCAATTAAATGACGAAGAAATGTGCATTTTAAAATTTTTTCCAAATAATCACCTATGAAATTATACTAAAATAATTATTCACCTCAGGCTCGGTGATTATCGTGAATAAAAACCTCGATTTCGTCTCGGTTTTTATTCACCGATAATCACCTCGTCTTCGGCGAATAATTGTTAAATAGTATTACTATTTATAATTCAAATTTTGTTTGATATTTATATTTCATGTTATTTACAAAATGTGCTGGAATAATCAGTGCGAGCACAACTGCTCCGTTTCAGTTTGAGTATATAAAAATCGAGTATTTTGATAGCGTTGGGCTTTGAGGCTTTTACGATATATAAATATAAACACCTGATAATTGTAAATAATCAGTGCGAGCACAACGGCTGCAAAATCACAACAAATAACAAAATATAAGGTAAGTTAAAAACAGTAAAGCTTTACCTACCTCGACTTATTGTTCTAAGGCGCTCAATTATGTAAATTTTCGGCGAATAATCAATATTTCTTTGCGTTTCTCGACGAAAACCCGGCATGAAAATGCTCGTCGGAAAAACTCGGTATTTGTCGTACACTCATACTTTACAAATCTACCACGTGATTTGCGACCGGTACGCACACTGAACACGACGACATGAAATTTAGAGCTATATGAAAGTTGCATGCCATATACGGCATGCAACAAAAACGTGAATTATAAAAGGCTTTTAAAGTGACTTTTTTACTGTCTTGTATAATAAATTTTGTTCAAATCAATATGCTGCCAAGCACGGCGAAGCATGACAAGCATGCTGTGAATTCGTGGCGGTTCGTCGCCGTTGAATTTGGTCAGCGAATAGGATTTTGAATGAGCCCGCAGTAGTTCCAGATTAATACTTCAAGTTAGCTTCAAGTTATCAAAAAGAAAGTTCAAAAACATGAAGCGAAATTTGTAGAGGAAAACCAGCAAAAAAAAGGAAACGGCCAAGAAAAAGGAAGCGGGCGGGGACGAGAAACAAAAGGGTTTTTTTACTTGGCCTAAATGTCATCTTAATGTTAGCTTTTTTGTACTGAAGGTATATCTTAGTTTATAAATCTTATTTCATTTGATTATAGGTACAAAGGTCAGAACACGAACAAGATGAATAATTCTACCAATGGACGGCAATTATGGAATGAACAAACACCGGTTACTAGATATGCTTGGTAACCTGATGGTATTTATATTAAAATATGTATTACAAGATACCCTGCAATAAATGTTATAAACTTCCTAAGATGTTGCGTGTCATTTACAAGTATGTTATCCATGGGAATCAGTTGGTCCCGTTCTTATAGTACTGCTTAATTTTAAGTAAGAAAGAGCTCCAAATAAATATGTCATTTACAAACTCAAGATTCTTATATTATTTATTACCAGTGTGTATTCGCGAACCGCAAGGCATCTTTGGCTTGTTTGGAGGGACAATGAAATTATAATAATGAAATACATGTCGCCCCAAAGAATCCAAAGATGCTTTGCGGTTTGCTACTAAACCCAGTACCTTGCTCTTTTGGGAAATGGCTGATTGATTTAACAACGACATTCCAACATAGTAATGTGGTGGAAATATTACCTTAAAAAAACCCTTTTCATTAACTCGATTCTTCAGTCATGAGCGAGATTTGTTTGAAGTTTGTTTCGTACTTTAATTATTGAGATGTCTGGTGGACGAAGATTATAAATATTTGCTTGAATATTGAATATCTGTTTAGTAGACTTGCAGAGTTGAAGCTTCGGATGTATGTGTAAAATACTGGTTTGAGGTTGAGCGCATCATGAAGGCGTCCTTTGCTTGGATTATCCAATATCGTATTAAAAATAACATCAATTCATTGAAATCACTTCATGAATTCTAGATGACGCAAACAACCCAGATGAAAATGGTGGTGATGATGATGATAAGTATGTTCCATCTGTGCAGACGTCGAAAAGGACGTCACAGTCACTCCTCACGGTAGAGGAAGATCGTTTATTCATTCGAACTTTTTCCAAGCTCATCCACTCAACAAAAACAATTGCGATGAAAACAGTGGCAGAAACCATACAGAAAGACCCTAAGCTTTCTCACCTACTTAAAACGATGACCCACCACCAATTGGCCGATAGGGTGCGTTCAGAGCAAAAAGCCATTGTTCGTGCCGACCAGAGAAAGGGGCTGCAGAAAAAGGCTAAGAAATAATTTGGTTGGCATCATCCACGGAAAGGAACAAACATTCGAATGTACAGTTGTGATTTTGCATGCAAGCTTTTAACCTAATCCTTAATTTTCCAACACACTGGTTTTTTCAATACAGCTTTGTTGAACGATGTTCAAACGGCAAGAGTGCGAACGGGACTCAAGACCCATGCGATGCAATACCACAGATGAAGTATATACCAGATGTGTAACTTAATAAATTTCCCTAGATGTACACGTCATGCTCACGCCATGACACTTCCTAGCAAAATGGCGTCCTGAAAAATACGAACTTTTGCATTTTATTGCGGCTTTTTTGGATCGAAATTTATGGATTAAACAAGCAAGAGCATTGTTTGTTGAATGTTTAAAGTTTTTAAAAGCAATTAAAGTTGTAGCAATGACGTATTACCAAATGACGAATAATCACGCGAGCGACACTTTATACTGGGAAGATGGTGACCATGGGACAACTTTTTTACTGAAGTTACATATCTATTCTTACTTAATCTATGGCAATACTATGGTTTGTTAAGTTTTTCTTCCTTAAAATGGCGTGTATACAAAAATGACAAATTATTCAAAATTATTATCCAATTTTTCCCTTTTTCCCAAAAAATTATCCAATTTTTCCCTTTTTGACACCTTCCTTCATTTCAGATCAAGTTCCAAGTGACTTCCTGAAGTTATTTTCTTAAAATCGTGATACTCTCTCATTTCCTAGGTAACAAATTAGTATAGGAATTGCACGGTTCTCGAGAAGTATTTTGCCAAACACACATGCAATGCTGTCCAGAATGGCGTAAATTGACTATTTTGATATTAATTAAACATTTAAATAAAAATTAAGCGTACATAAAATTATCGCAATTTTCTGAAACCCTAGCGAGCCAGTTTTATTGTCATTTTTGTGTGTTAATTAGTCGTTCTAAGCCTATTTTCCACTTCAACCGTATCGTAACGTAACGTACCATAGCATTTTCGTTTTTGTCATAATTATTATTTCCACACTATCGCTCAGGAAACAAAGATAGGCCTACGCTATGTTTTACTAGAATATTTTTTGTTGTTGTGTAATAAATATTTGCACATGAACATGTGATTTAGAAAGTTCCTGTCTACTTACAAATACACGTTTACACTACGTACCATATCACTGATCTGGGAGAAACTATCAATAAGTGTCGTAAGTTATGGAGAATAATGATTATATTTCTGAGACATACGAATGAAGGAATGGCCTAGAGTCACAAGTTAGGAGTTACGTGTCACGAGTCAGAGTTACGAGTCAGCGTTAGGAGTCAGAGTTATGTGTCTGAGTTACGTGCCTATTAAATCTGAACTTTCATTTTTGCAACTTTGTGTTGAAAAAAGTATGTTTAAACAAAAAAGCCGGTTTTCTATTAGTTTGAGATGGATACATCATAACCTGACCTTGCCATGTACAAATTTTAAGGGCAAGTTTTCCACCTAGGGAAAAGATATACACTATTTGCGCGCTTTGTTTCATGTCAAATTATGTTCAAGATGGCTGAATTGCCTTCGTTAGCTTCGTGGTTTTGCATATGATACGGCTAAAGCAAGCCGTATAGTAAATAATTTATCATTAAGCCTGTTTTCCACTTCAATCGTAACGTACCGTAGCATTTTCTTTTGCGTCGAAGTCATTAGTTCCACTCTAGAGTCTAGTGCTCAGGAAACAAAGAAATACGCTACGTTTCGGTACGATACTGTCGAAGTGGAAACTGGCTTTAGGAGTTTAGTGGTAGACAAACGTAGCAATTTAAATCGATTTTGTTAAACAAGGACAAAGGATAAAGCCTAAAACTTACTTTCTGTTTATCTATTTGTTATTCTTCGCTGGTTTGTTTGTATAAATTTAGGAAAAAGGGACTTTTTCTGGGGGAGTAAAATGTGATTTTGTGTGTGTGTGTGTGGG